ATGACCTTAACTAACCAAATCACCTTATACTCGATCAAATAGGCCAGATTTAGAGTATATATACCACTTTCTAGTGATTTGCCGGTGAGTTTTCTTCTCGCAAGCCTGAATTTTGTTGTGATGATGTTACCTCGCTCTGATGATGTCCGTCATATGAAGATTGCCTCGGAAACAGCGTCAGCATGAATCTTCCAGTAAAGCCAATCGACAGCTGGTCAAGAGGAATCTGCGATTGCCTCGGAAACAGCGTCAGCATGAATCTTCCAGTAAAGCCAATCGACAGCTGGTCAAGAGGAATCCACCGTTGCCTCGGAAACAGCGTCAGCATGAATCTTCCAGTAAAGCCAATCGACAGCTGGTCAAGAGGAATCCGCAGTCCTCGGAAACAGCGTCAGCATGAATCTTCCAGTAAAGCCAATCGACAGCTGGTCAAGAGAAATTCGCCGTTGCTCGGAAACAGCGTCAGCATGAATCTTCCAGTAAAGCCAATCGACAGCTGGTCAAGAGGAATCCGCCGTCTTCTATGATGTTCGTCATATGACGGACGAAAGCTTAGCACCTTTTCACCGGAATCGAAGAAGATTACCTCGGAAATGCATGAATCTTCCAGTAAAGCCAATCGACAGCTGGTCAAGAGGAATCCGCCGTCGTCTTCTGGTGGAATCGAACTTCGAATCTCTTCACCCACATGAATCTTCCAGTAAAGCCAATCGACAGCTGGTCAAGAGGAATCCGCCGTCGTCTTCTGGTGGAACCGCCTTGCTCTGATGATTTTCGCCATATGATGGACGAAAGCTTAGCACCTTTTCACCTGAATCGAAGGAGATTATCTCGGAAATAGCGTCACCGGATGACGGACGAAAGCTTAGCACGTTTTCACCAGAATCGAAGGAGATTGCCTCAGAAACAGCGTCAGCACAAATCTTCCAGTAAAGCCAATCGACAGCTGGTCAAGAGGAATCCGCCGTCGTCTTCTGGTGGAACCGACCTCCGACGCACGAAACTAAGCAAGTTTGCACCGGAATCGAAGAAGATTACCTCGGAAACAGCGTCAGCATGAATCTGCCCGATGTCCGTCATATGACGGACGAAAGCTTAGCACCTTTTCACCGGAATCGAGGGAGATTGCCTCGAAAACCGCGTCAGCATGAATCTTCCAGAAAGCCAATCGACAGCTGGTCAAGAGGAATTCGCCGTCGTCTTCTGGTGGAACCGACCTTCGAATCTCTTGACCAAACACTTTCACTCGAAATGGAAGTAAGCTCAACAATTATGAAACAAGAGATTCCTCGAAACCTAACTTTTCTTCATATTTATTTGCACAGCTCACCTACTCGAAATGGAAGTAATCCCAACAACTATGAAACAAGAGATTCCTCGAAACCCAACTTTTCTTCATAGACTCGAAATGGAAGTAATCCCAACAATTATGAAACAAGAGATTCCTCGAAACCCAACTTTTCTTCGTATAGAGAAAGAGATAGTCTAGTCCTGTTTTGGTTCTAATCAGGTCATGTAATTTGTCAATGCTCTCTTTG